TTTTTTTTTTTTTGGAGATAAGTAAAGAAGAGAAAAAGACAATTAGGGTTCCAAATAAACAGGCAATATTGAAGAACTTCTAGAACCTCTACTACTTCCAAAAGAGAAGAAACATCTCTTCATCACTCTGTTATTACCACCACCACCACTACTGCTACAATCTTCCGTACAACCTCCACCCTCTCCGGCCACCGGAATCTTCCCATTTCTCCGGCTAATAGCCTCCTGAACGGCCAAGTAGAGCTGCCGATCTGCTGATGAATCCATGGAGATTGATCTTCTTATGGGCTGAATTGCGCCGAATTGATCATATTTGCCTCGAGTATTGATACATTCGTCCCCCTTACTTGTCACTTTGTTATATTTTCTCTCTTTATTATGCATCCCGCGATGATCGAATTTTCTAGGCGAAGGACTGATCGGTTTCGGGGAGTTTCTGGTCGATATCTCATCCGAGGAAACCCTTTCTTGTCCCACAAGGAAGTCTCTGTTTCTCGCACTATGTCTGTTATTAGTCCCAAGCTCGATCACAACAAAGTCATTGTCGTCTCCTGAAACCGCATCGGGGTCAAGACTCCTGCTCCGAGGAAGAGGAGGAGGATTATTCTCCGGGGAAGAGCTCGGTGCAGATATTAGGTCAAGCGGGAAACTTGCGTCACAAGAAACACTGGTTCTACACAAGGGACAATTCGAGTTTCCCTGAAGCCAAATATCGATGCAATCAATGTGAAACAAGTGGCAGCAATTTGGAATAATCCTTAGCTTCTCGTCTTCTTCAAACTCGTTTAAGCAAACAGAGCATTCTTGAGAGCTCTTATTCTGGTCTTCTTCTCCTGCAACAACGTCTCTCTTCTTGAATTTGAAGATTGGGATTGCTCTAATGGTGGATTCGTCAAGACCTCGGTTTAGCTCATGAGGAGAGTAAATCATTAGAGGGTTTTGGTCACTGCTTCTTCTGCGGCGACGGAAGATGTCGATTTGGTGCCAATTAAGACAGCATTTGATGACAAAGACGTAGTAACTTACAAGCAAGAAAGCAGTTGCTAAGATTCCAATCACTGCGACGGCGATAATCGGAAAATTCGTGGCGGAAGAGCTTGCTCGTGGGAAAATAGGGCTCGTGAAGGTAGTTGATGGCGGCGGTGGAGGCGGAGGAAAAACCAGATTATTGAAAGGGTTACGACGGTCCGTTAGATCCATTGACTACAAAAATCTAAATGAAAAGAAGGAAACTTTAGTAAGAAACAAAAAAAATGAAAAAATCAAGTAAATATTTGTTTCTTTTGAATCTTTATCTTTCTCTAATCAAGAATCTGATGTGTTTGTGTATATATACGTATATGCGTGTGTAAAAAAAAGACT